CAATCATATGATAGGCTGCCTAACATTTTTCAGAGAGGCTAACAAAGGTCCGGCTTCTCCTGAAACTGTTACACTGCTTCCCAGTGCACCACCAGACCAGAGGAGCCGCTATCTGGACCCTTGACTTAGAGAAATATCGCACCCTACTGCCAATTTATGCAGTTGGCTTATTTTTTTTCTTCTTTTTAAACAGGCAAAGAGCTTTGCCATGCTTTTTCTGGAAAGATCACTGATTCAATCTTTCCGTTAATATTTGGTGGAGTGCCTGCTAAATCCACGGCATGCAGTTCTGCCCTGGGACATGTGTGCCTTGAACACAGTGAGCATTCCAGGGGCGTTCTCTGACTGCTGGCCAGTCCGCCTCCCTGATCGGCATTTCTGGATATGAGGGAAGATTTATCTTGGCACCCCTAGCTCCAACTGGTATGCACGTGCACGCACACGCACTCACACTCACTCCGTATTTTCTCCCTCGGGGCCTAAGATCGTCTGTTCAGAGTTCGGAGAGTGAGTTTCTACTGCAGCAGAGAAGCTGGCTCTTGGTAACTTTCAAGGGGAGAAAGGGCATCTTTCCCTTCCCTGGAACTGAGTACAACAGCTTAAAAATAGAACAATGTGTGTTTGGTGTTTTCCTTTTCCCCTCCGCATCAATAACAGGTGTAGAGTTACAGACACAAAGAGGTAGATTCACGTCTTCTGCGCGCCTCGGGAGAATTCCCAGAGTTACCCAGGAGCGCGATCTGGGCCTAAAACGTTTCATAAAAAGAAAGTAACCCAATATAGCTCTGTGTTACTAACACTGCTGGGTCACATGGCTTCATTATCCTCCCTGTACAGTGACCCTAGGGTCCAGATGCACAGTGGGAGAAAATGTCACCCAGACTGATTCCTAGGCACCAGAAAACAAAGGACAGTTAAAACCCCTAAAAGTTGAATTAGAGAAACTAACATGTGAATTGCAGGCTTCGGACTGGCTAGGGCAGGGGTCTGTGGGCGGGCACGCTTCCACTGGAGAGCGTAGGTACAGCTTCCGTAAACCGAAGGTGAGAGGTCAGATTGATTTGCTAGCTTGCTTTCTAATGCCTTTTTTCCTTCTGAAGTTGTAATGTGACCTCTTAGAAGCATTGACCTCACAAACACTTTGTGATTCAATTCCTAGCTTGTCTGCTTTGTGGACTTTGGGGCATGTCCGTGATTAGTGATTAGTAACTGGTGTTAATGAAGAAGTTCACACTTACTGTCAGTTTGCAGAGTGGAAGGAAGTGGCATCCCCTGCCGGCACACTTCTAGGCAGCTGCTTGCAATTCTTTCTCATTCGCTCCCTGAGAAAACGGCTCCTAATAAATTTGAACAGATGCTAGGCGTTTGGCAGTGTTGCAAAGGGTACTAGTGTTCAAATGTGGGGCTCCTTCATGTCTCATAATGAAAATTCAACAGCTTCTATGCCTTCGATGTGTTCCAGTGTTCGCATAAATAGCTAACGCATGACTCCACACTTACCCCTCAGGAGTTCTCCTAACCTATTTATTGGTTCTGACGCCACCGCTACTAAATCCTTGGCTCTCAAAGTCCAGCTGGTAAACATGCACAGGCAGATCCAATTTGGCACTAAGTGGGACTCCTTTCTAAGTGAGCTTTTCCAGTTGCCCCTGACAGCCAAGTCAAGCGTGGCCGGAACTGGAGCTTATCGGTTATTACAGTTCCCCGAGCCCCCCCTCCAGGGCTCCTCTCTTCTCCCCCCGCCCCCATATGTGTCCCCCATCCCAGCCCCACAACGTGGCTCACCCAGCCCCGCTGTGCCTGCGGAATGCTGCACTCCCCAGGGGCTGAGCCCAGAGAGCAAGCCCTGGGTTGTAGTTCCGTCTACAGCCCTGGGCCTGGCACACATAGTAAGTGCTCAATAAATCGGTCTCAAATGAGCCAGAAATGATTATCAATGAAAAAACCAAAAGTGGTCACGTGTTCTTATTAATCAGCTTTAACTCCAGAAGACAGGACCCACTTCTGAGGGGGTTCTTACACCCCTCCAGGGCTGTTAGGGAAAAGAGAGAAAACTGGGCACCTTGGAATCCGCAGTGAGTTGACTAGACCGGTGGACATGTCCTCAGGCCTCAGACACTCCGTGGTAGGGGAAGGGCTGGGTTTGTATATCCGGCAGCCCAGTTCCCTGTGAAGGGCGATGCCATTCATCTCGCTTCCTTACACCCCTTATCTCCCTACTTGAAATACTTGACATTTCTGCGGGTTGGAGAGTCAGTCCACCAGCATTCCTGCGGCATTTACAGGGACTGTGGGTTCACTTCTCAGGGCTCCCCTGCCCCGCTCCCTCTACCTTCCCCGTCAAGCCCTGCGGCAGCCCTGTGCTTCCCCTGCACACGCAGGAAACAGGCCCGCAGCATCTGCCCTCTGTCTCCACACTCCACTCCCTTCCTTGTCCCCCCTGCGCTGTGCTCTGGGGCGTGCACGGCAGCTGCGGTTATTCATTCATTCATTCCACGTTGGGCTCCTCCAGGCGGCTGGGCTAGGTGCTGAGGAAGGAAGTCACAGAGCAGTTAAACCACACAGACTCCAGGCCCTGGATCTCCCCACCCCGCCCCCTGCAGAGAAATGAGGTGCTCACATCTGCAAAGTAGAAGAGGGGCCAGCAGGGAGGGCAGAGCTAACGATCAAAAAAGGGGAGGCTCGCTCTGGCTGCTTTTCCTTGTGGTAATCCCTGTTTGGATCTTAAGAACACAAACTTTGGAGCTATGAGACTCATTTCTTTCTTTTTTAAAAAATACATAATCTTTATTAAATTTTTTCCATTACCATTTAGTCCCCTTATGTCCCCCTCCCCACAGCAGTCACCACACTGTTGTCCATGTCCATGAGTCCTCTTTCCTTTTTGCTCAGTCCCTCCACCCTCCATCCCCACTAGCTGTCATCTGCTCTCCATCCTCCCAGACTCATTTCTGTGCCAGTCTCAGCACTGACTGGCTGTGGGGGAAATCGCTTCGGCATTCAAGGTTCATTTTATGGAGTGGACTTAATATTGGTGATAGTAATAGAACATTTGTCATCCATGCCACATGAGGACCCCAAAGGGAGCTCAGCGGCAGTCATGGCTGCAAGCATGGTTATGAGAACCATAGGCGCTGCACTGATGTTAGTGATAATGGCCACTCTTATACTCCACTTCAGTGCTGTAAACGTCAAGTTCAAAGGCCCTTTTGGCCTCCTTGCTGGAGAGTGTCAAGGGTCAGGCCTGTCCTTGCTTGTGCACCTGGGGTCTGCCTAGAGAGGATCCTTTCCTCAGTCCTGGCCCAGGCCACGTGAAGGCGCTCTCCTTGACCAGGCCTTGGCCTTGTCACCAGTTGGAAGCCTGTTTCTCAGACCGTGTTGCTTGTTACTTCGCCTCCTTTCGGCTGACTTGCTACTTCCTAAGTCACGCTCGCAGCAGCTTGTCGGTATTTCTAGACAAGAAAGCCACTTGGGGATGGCCCTGAGTAAACAGTTGGAGTCACTCTATTTTTCTCTTTTTCTTTTTTTTTTTAAAGATTTTATTTATTCATTTTTAGAGAGGGAAGGGAAGGAGAAAGAGAGAGAGAAACACCAATGTGCGGTTGCTGGGGCCCGTGGCCTGCAACCCAGGCATGTGCCCTGACTGGGAATTGAACCTGCAATGCTTTGGTTCGAAGCCTGCGCTCAATCCACTGAGCTACGCCAGCCAGGGCTTCTATTTTTCTATGTTAGAATAAAAAACCCACTTGCCAAGAAAGCTCGTGACCTCCCGAGCCAGGGAAAACTGCATCTGTGGTAAACCAGTTCCAAATTGGTGTGCTGAAGCGAAGCTGGAAACTGCTTTGCAAAAGGCCGCGGTGAAGCTTCCGTTCTATCCAAGCCTCACCACTAACTGCTGGTGCCATTCTGTACATCATTGAACCTCTTGATTTCTGGGCCTCACTCTCCAAAGCCTGGACGTCCTCAGCCATGAGAGCCCCAGTTTTAGGCATTGAATTTTGGCTTTTTGATAACAGACTTGGTTTCCAAGGGTGTTTGCAGATTCCCTGTGGGATTGTGTTCTCTGCAATCAAGGTTCCGTAGCTACAGGGTTCCCTGAGCCTGGGACAGAGCCCGGCTCACGGTTACTCCTCAATAATGAGCCGTGAGTGTAGAACATTGGCATTGCCATTCAGACTGCGTTTACTCTCTTCCACCTGGAAGGAGTAAACATGATCATCTTGATTGCAGATTTATTCTTTGACCGATCAGTGACTTTTTCACATGCATGGCAATTGCTAGCAGTTATCAAGTATAAAAGGCATGTCTGGCATTGAACACACTTACTTGTTATCCCTTCTGCAACGTCATTATTATCTCTGTTTTACAGATGAGGAGACTTCCCAAGGTCTCCCTGCTAGCAAGTGGCTGAGCCTGAATTCACACTCAGAGCCATTTGTCACTAAAGCCCCCCTCTCCGTAATGCCGGGCAACCCCTCATGCGGCGTGGCCTCTGGATTTACACTGGATCCGTTGCCTTAATTTATGCCCATGATAAAAACTCTATTCTCCATGTGAGTTAAACATGTTCCACAATTTTCTCATACTTGTAACTTATGTCACGTGTAGTTGAACATTGGGTTATTTGGTGAGAATATGACTTAATCTACTCAACAAAAGAATTTTTTGAGAGTAGGAACTACTGGTGGTATATTTCCATCCCAGCACTAGTTGCAATAACGAGCTCTTGTTGCAGTGGATGTTACTGAAATAACGCATGGGTTCGTGGGTTGGGTGCCGTTGCTTCATTGTGCTCATCCTCTGAACTTGCAGTTTGCCGCCATCCTCCATTGGTCGTGTATCTATTGAGTCACTGCTGTGATGGCCCCTGGCCTAGAGAAATAAATAGAGACCATCGTGTACATTTATCATTGAAGAACTGTAATCTGGAACACCACAGCTGATTTGTTATTGTGGAAGGATTAAAGATAAATGAAAGGCATTACTTCTTTTTTCAGAGTTCAGCTTTTTATTGCATGGGTTGCAGGGGAGGTTTGGTCAAAAAGACCAAAGCCTGTGTGCTCATCGGACTCCTCAGATTCTTCCTTCTTTGCTTCCACTTTCTCCACCTCAGCGGGGGCAGCAGTGGTGGAAGGGACAGGACTTCCTGCTGGTGCGGCACCAGCTGCTGGGGCAGGTCTGCCAGCCCCTCCATTGCAGATGGGGCTCCCAGTGTTGACACTGGCCAGAGCCTTGGCAAACAAGCCTGGCCAGAAAGCCTCGACATTCACACCGGCTGCTTTAATGAGGGCATTGCCCTTCTGCTCCCCGACCCTCACCTCATCACCCTGAAGGATGAGCGCTGAGTAGATGCAGGTGAGCTCCGAAACCATGCGCTACAAGGAACCTCTGTACAGTATAAAAAAACTTCCTATAATAACATTCTGCCGAAAAGTTCCTGACACATTTTGTTTTGATTATTCCAAACATTTTTGAGTCTTCAATAATACCTTGACAATAAAATAGAACCTAATAAAACAGTGAAGTAGGTTTTCAACTAGCTGAACGTTTGGATCTGCTGAGTGTATAAGCCTCCACGTCAGCCTGGAAAGACACCTGGTGAAGTACCTGGTGTATTTGTTAAAACCCTGCTCTGTTCCATACCTTTATCAACAACGTAAAGACCTGGAAGACACATACATTGTGTTTTCAGATGGCATAAGTAAGCCCTGCCACCGTAGTTTCTACCACATATGTCTATGGTCATGGTTCAGAATGACTTCAGTGGGCTGCACTGCCGGATGGAAATGGACAAGATGAAATGGAGCAGGGAATAAATGTACATTTTTGCTTTTAGACTCAAGGTAATTGTATGATTGCAAGATGGGGAGCGGCTGAGCTTGGCAGCAGTTCATGCGACTAAACGCTCAGTATGAACTCATAGTGGGACCTGGTGGCTAAAAAGAATGAATGTAGTCATGGGCTTCCTCGGTAGAATTAATAGTTCACCGTACTCCACACGGGTCACACTGCATTGGGATAATTTATTTAGTTCCGAGAACATTCAGGAACGAATTTGACAAAGCAGAGTGGCTGCTAAGAGGGTGTTGAAACCAATCCAGGACACATTTATTTACTGGGCTCCTGTTTTGGGCAGGCCATGTGCTAACCGGTGTGGAAAAGAAAGATGGGAAGATAAGCCAGTCTCTAGCCTCGAGGAGTCGGGAATTTAAATACAAAGCCCGACAGGTACATGCATGACAGTGAAATGCAGCAGGTTATGGAAGCCAAGAGACACAGAGAAAGTGCTGTGGGAATTCAGGAGCTGGGCTAGTGGTAGGCTTTCCACGGGAAATGAGGACGAGAACAAAGGAAGCCTTCACAGCAAAGACGCAGAGACAGGAAAACTCCACACGTCTAGGGAACTCTGAGTGGTCTAGGCTGCCTGGAAGAATAGGGTCGACTGTAGTAGGAGATGAAGCTGAGGGAAGAGGGTGTGGACCAGAGTGTGAGGTCCTGACTGCTAGGCAAGGGGAGGGATTGTAGGTTGGCGAGCATCTGGAAATAACGGTGCATGAGGATGCTTTGCAGAAACGATGTGTGTTTAGTCTGGAAACAAGAAGACCAAGGCCCCTCTGGGAAATGTGGACCAGACTTACTCTGCATTCCTCCAAAACCAAAAATGTATCACAGGAGAAAAGTGTTATAAAGAGCCAGATTTCAGTTTTTGCTAAGCATCATTTAAAAAAAAAAAAAAGAAGCTGCCCGTCAACGGAGAGCTCGCCTGGGTGATGGCGTCCTCACGGCTGGGCTGAGGGGAAGCCCAAGACTGACACTCTCAAGGGCATGCGGCGAGGCGACGCTGCAGCTGCACCCAGGGACCTGGGCATTCTGGGAAGTGCCCAAGGCCTTCCAATGCGTAACTGTCCATTGTGGGGTTTCCCCTTCTTCTTTGTTAGGTTGTCAATTAGTACATCAGCTTCTGAAGCTGGCACGTTATGACCCCCCAGTTCAATGAGACGTCAGACTGACTCCAGGGCAGGTGTCCAGTGCTTTGACCGTAGCCACTCATCACCACTGCTTGACTTACCAACACAGGCACCATCCTTTTTTACTATGAAGTATGGCATCCTTCGCATGTGAATACAGATCTTTGGGAGAGTTCTCCACTAGGCGAATCAAATGCAAATCAACCATTGATAAAGTCCAGTGCGGAGAAGCCTTAATTGACAAAGAATCCCCATGGCTGTAGGTGCAGGGATTGCGCAGTGGGTTCCGGAGGTGGAAAGGCTTGAGTTTCAGGGCCAGCAATCCCAGTGGCTAGCCGTGCGATCCTGAGCACGTGATGTGACCTCCCTGTTTCCTAATCCGTAAGTGGGGATGGGCCCTTGCTAGCCCTGACCTTGCAGGCTGTTTGGGAGGATTACTCGGGATAACGCATGTAGCCTGCGCCTGGCAGCACAGGGTCCAGTTTTACGAACCCAGTTCTCCCATTGTACAGTGGCGTTCCCAGGAGCTCTTCCAAGCTAAAGGTATTTTTGCGAACGGAAACATTGCTCTCCTGACGTGGCTAATTTATATGTGCCAGATATTGTTCTGAGGCTTCACACGATGAACTCCTTTAGTCCTCAGAACAGCCCCATAAAGTAAACTCTGCCAAAATCCCTCATGATGGAGAAACTGAGAGGTTACCTGTCGTGACCAGTCCAAGCTAGTCAATGAGGGAGCCAGGGTCCAGACCAAGCCAACTACAGAGGTTATTACCACCATTTCCTCGCAATTTCAAATGTGGGAAACAAACCAGTTTTCCGACTTTCTTCCCAAGTTCATTTCAAATACTCTGCCATATAATTTCATGCCATTTTATCTGGTCAGGACTATCTCACATTAATATAGTTTCAAGTCATACTTACTACATTAAAACACAAGGGCCTTAATGATCATGTCCCCTTTAGCCAGAGCATTGAGGGGGTCCTTAATAAAAGTCAAATGATGCAGGAATAAGTGAAAAAATTTAAATTGTAGAAGTCGTTCATATAGCCACTTGTAAAGGAAGCAAGTTATCCTTAATATAACTTTTCTACTTTACCATTGTGGGGGCTCAAAAAAACAAAGAAATAATAATAAAAACAATATTTTTCCTTCCACCTTCTAAGTTCTTCTAGCTGAGCTAGTAATCAAGTTGACAGAGATAGATGGACAGGAGAAAAATCAAATTTTAATACATGTTTACAAGGAGTTCACATAAGCATGACAGTTCCAAAGACAGCAAGGCAACACTGGGTATATAAGGCGTTTTGGTCAGAGGAGGAAAGGGGGAAGGACAAGGTATTCAATTTCAGAAGTGAGAACGGGCGATTTACGGGTAGTTGAGGAAGAGGGGACCGTGCATGGCAGGAAAATTCTTGCTGGGCGACTCAGAGACAGTGGGACTGGGGGGACCTAGCCAACAGGCCCCAGCCTGCCACCCTCCCCTCTGCCCTTCTAAATTCAAATTAGACTAAGGTAGATATGTAAAGATTTCTTTTGTGGAGCAGGTTTTTCCATTTGAAATTCTTAGGCAGGATATGGAGAAGGACCAGAGGGTCTTTCTGCATCTCATTTCTTAACAACCCACTAAAACTCAACGTCCCAAAAGGCAACTGGAGGTTCCCAGGACTGGGGTTTCTTTCACCACCTCCTTCCATTATTTGGAGCAGTCATAGCCTTTTGTGTCACTCATTTGAAATCAATGTCTTGCACCCTTTACCTTGTTTATAACCCCCACATCCCTTTTTAGCAATGATGTCCTCTCTGTCTCTGTCTCTCTCCCTCATCATGTAGTGTTACCAGATATTACTCAGAAGTACCCGCCTACTCGTCGTGTATTTCTCAGACACTGGTGGCTGCATCGTTACCCACGCTATCCATAAATTCCAAGTTAAAGAATAATTTCACCAATCCAATCCACGCCACATCAATCTCAGGTCAACCAGACACCATTTCTACACCCCTTCCTTGACACCCTCCTAGATCCCTGAGGTCTATCCAGACTTAGCGAAGTTTGATGTAAGGGGCTGCCCATAATTTTCTTTGGAGTGATTTTGGGAATTCCTAAATACCCCTCGAGAAAAACATCAAGAGACAAAACTGAGTCACACAGAAACTATGTACCTAAATGTTACCAAACTAAAGCAGAATATGCGGAAACAACCCCTTTCCGCAGAAGGAAAAGAGCCCGGAGCGTTCGGCCACTGCTGGTGGAATATATCAGCGATCATTCCATTCTATTGTCGGGGCCAAAAATGCAGCTTTTCCTGTTCCAAGGGGAGCGAGTTCTCCTGCTACAAGTGAGGCAGAGATGAGGGAAGCCAACCATTTCCAGATTTTTCCACCGTCTTTGCTACCCTGGGAAGGGGTACGGCGGCATTGTGTGGGCCAGGTAGCTGGGAGCGTAATCTCCCACTCTGTGGGTGCGACTATTCCTTTATAGATTAGATAAGAACAACTGATGAACTTTTAAATACTGAGAAAACTAATCAGAACTGGAGGGGGGTGGGGGTGTTGGCCACAGCCCAGAACTATGCGGACTGAGATAAAAGCACCCACGGAACTTTTTCTCCATCCCCCGCCTCTCGGCTTCTCTTTCCTCTCCTCCTGTCCGTCACTCTCTCCACTCTCTTGTCACCACGGTCTTCTCTTCCTCCTCTTGCCCACCCCAACTCTATCCCCCAGGACTTCATTTTGCACCCTTTCTTAACTAGCCAAAAATCGTAGACTTAAATTTTTTTTTAATTTATTCTTTTAGATAATAAAGATTCTACATTCTGGACTTAATTTGGAAAACAGCTGAGGTGAACACATTTTATTCTCAATCATTTCTTTTTTATATATAAGAAACATATCGTTGTAAAAATATCTTCATTTCAGTCTCAAGCAACGGCCTTGACCTCACTCGGTCCGTTGCAGAGCTGGCAGATTGGGGTCAGGGCTCTGGAATCAAGGCATTGTGGGTGGAGGCGGACTTCGGGTCACAGGGCGTGCGTGCGTCCTCTGGCCCCAGGGATCTGTGCTGCTTCCCCGCCTCATTTTAAGGCTTGGAGTCGCGCTCCGGCTTCAGCCGGTCTTCTGGGAATCCGAACCAGGCTGCGCTGGTTTTCAATGTCCACTTGTTGCTTTCGACTTCTATGAGCCTTTCAATTCCTTTTCCTCCGTGAGGGACAGACCCTCTGTGGAAAGAAAGGGCACCCCTCGAGGCTGCCATGTTCTGCAGTCAACTTGAGATGCCTTTTGATGGGCTTCAAACAAGCCTGGCCCGGCGGTAGCATTGGGTCCCACTCAGCATTCTGCTTGCTAGGACACATGCTGTCTTCACCACCGTCTTCCTGGGAAGGTCTCTCAGGGCCCAGCCCGG